TATTATGATTATTATTATCATTATTATTATTATTATTATTCTCAATATTATTATTATTATTATTATTATTATTATTATTATTATTGTTATTATTATTATCATTATTTTTATTATTATTATTATTATTATTATTATTATTATTATTATCATTATTATTATTATTATTGTTATTATTATTATCATTATTTTTATTATGATTATTATTATCATTATTATTATTATTATTATTCTCAATATTATTATTATTATTATTATTATTATTATTATTGTTATTATTATCATTATTTTTATTATTATTATTATTATTATTATTATTATTACTATTATTATTATTATTATTATCATTATTATTATTATTATTATTATTGTTATTATTATTATTATTATCATTATTATTATTATTATTATTATTATTATCATTATTATCATTATTATTATTATTGCCATTATTATCATCATTTTTATCATTGTTATCACTATCAGTATTATTATCACTGCTATTATGATAATATTATTACCACTATCATTGTTATTATGATCGTTATTATTATCATTATTACCATTATTATTATTATTATTATTATTATTATTATTATTATTATTAATTATTATTATCATCATCATCATTGTTATTACTGTTATTATTATTATTGTTATTATTGTCATTATTGTTATTATTATCATCATTATCATTATCATTATCATTATCATTATTGTCTTTATTGACATTATCATTGTTATTGATAATAGTAATAATAATTATGATTATCATTATTATTATTATTATCATTATTATTGATAGTATTATTATTGATATTGTTATCGTTGTTGTTGTTGTTGTTGATGATTGCATCTTTTCATCTTTTCTTTTTCTATTCTCATATTTATAATTTCCATCATTATTCTAGTTGCTATTATTATTATTATTATTATATATTAATATTATTATTATCATAGCAACTATCAACTATTATTATTTTATACTTTGCACTGTTATTATTATTATTGTTGTTTTATGATCATCACCATCATCATTGATATCATTATTTTCATCATAAATATCATCATTATCATGATCATCATAATCATTATTCATTAACAGTCTTCTGGTTATCATTATTTTTTTTTTAGGATTATCATTTTTTCCCTCAGTATTCATATTATTATTATTAATGTTATCATTATTACTATTATTATCACTATTATCCTCAATACTATTATTATCATCATCATAATTAGTTTTTTTTCATTAGCATTGTTATCATTACTGATCCCCATCATCGTAACTACACTAATGATAATAATAAAGAATTTTATATTTATCACTATCATTACTACAGCTGCTATTTTCCATTTTTCTAAAGTCGTTTTTTTATATTATCATCATCATTATCGGCTTCACACTATCATTATTCCCAAAATCATCACCTTATACATTTCACTACAAAGTGAGAATGTATCCTCATGTCTGAGTACTTACAGGAAAACTATTATTGTATTAAATGTGAGAAAACACTCTCATGTTCGTACCTACGTCTGGACACTTCCTATGATACAACAACAAATCATAACCCAAACGGATACTGTATCATACATCTATTCATAACTTATACATTACGAACACCTCTGTAAAGTGCCAATACATCCTCATGTTCATACTGACACGTGGACATTTCCTAAGAAACTCCAACAAATCATCTTTAATACAGTACACTGCATTATTCATTAACTTATAACTCATCATCGCATCATATTATGAAGTGAGAATACATCTACAACTGGACACCTACTATGATACAACAAATAAGCCTTAATACAATCACTGTATTATAGAATAATCCAGAGAATACACACTCGTGTTTATATTTACACGTGAAAACCTCCTATAAGAAACACCACAAAAATTATCGAGCTTAAGGAAACACCAAAACAAAAACAAAAACAAAAAAAAGAGAGAGAAGGAAAAAGAAAAAAAGAAAAACAGGAAAAACAGAAAAAAAAAAAAAAATAAAAAACGAAAAAATACAAAATAATGATAACAACAACAATAATAATAATGATGATAATAATAATAATGATAATGGTAAAAATAGCAATAACGATGATAATAATAATGGTAATGATAATAATGATAATAAACAAAGATAATGCAACCAGCCTTTATGTTGCAGAAGTGCGACATGTGCAGGAACCACGGGGACCTGAAGAGCAAGCGAGCCCACAAGAACACCTGCCCGTATCAGCACTGCACTTGCGCCCTCTGCTCGCTCACGCGCAAGCGCAGGGACATCATGCGGCATCAACAGCGCGTCCGGAGGTCCGTCTCGATCGCAGGCTCCCTGTCTGTTTGTTTGTCTGTCTCTCTCTCTTTCTCCTTCTCTCGCTCTCACTCTCACTCTCATTCTCACTCTCACTCTCACTCTCACTCTCATTTTTTTTCTCTCTCTCTCTCTCTCTCTCTCTCTCTCTCTCTCTCTCTCTCTCTCTCTCTCTCTCTCTCTCTCTCTCCCTTTCTCCGTCAGGCTCCTTTTTCTGTATGTCTATCTATCTGTTTTTTTTTCAGTATGTCTATGTTTCTTCTAAATCCGTTTGTCTGTTTGTATATCTCTCTCTCTCTATCTGCCTCTCTGCATTTCTGTCTCTGCCTCTGTATTTGTCTGTCTCTGTCTATCTGTCTCTTTGCCTCTGCTTCTGCCTGTCTCTGTCTCTCTCTGCCTCTGTATCTGTTTCTCTCTCTCTGTCTCTGTGCCTCTGTCTCTGTCTCTGTCTCTCTCTGCCTCTGTATCTGTCTCTCTCTCTGTCTGTCTGTCTGTCTCTCTCTCTCTGCCTTTGTCTCTGTCTGTCTCTCTCTCTGCCTCTCTCTCTCTCTCTCTCTCTCTCTCTCTCTCTCTCTCTCTCTCTCTCTCTCTCTCTCTCTCTCTCTCTCTCTCTCTCTCTCTCTCTCTCTCTCTGCCTCTGTCTCTGTATCTGTCTCTCTCTCTGCCTCACTGTATTTCTGTCTGCCTCTGTCTCTGTATCTGTCTCTCTCTCTGCCTCACTGTATTTCTGTCTGCCTCTGTCTCTGTCTGTCTGTCTCTCTCTTTGCCTCTGCCTCTGTCTCTCTGTCTCTCTCTCTGCCTTTGTATCTGTCTCTCTCTCTCTGTCTGTCTGTCTCTCTCTTTGCCTCTGCCTCTGTCTCTCTCTCTCTACCTCTGTATCTGTCTCTCTCTCTCTGTGTCTGTCTGTCTGTCTCTCTCTCTGCCTCTGTGTCTGTCTTTCTCTCTGTGTCTGTCTGTCTGTCTCTCTCTCTCTCTCATTGCCTATCTCTTTTTTTCTCTCTCTCTCTCTGTCTGCCTCTCTCTCTCTTTCTCTATTTATCTCTCTCTCTCCCTCTTCCCCTGTGTGTTTGTATGTGTGTGTATGTGTGTTTCCGTGTCCGTCTACATGCTATAACGCACACGAGCCACCTTTTGTGGCCACGGCACCTGTACTTCCTTTTCCTCCGCAGGTCTCAAGTCACAACCCAGCAGCGCGACGAGGCCTACGACTACGTCACCCAAGCCACGGCCGAGTTAGCACAGCTGAGCATGAACAACCAAGTCTCCTCCTCCTCCTCTTCCCCCGTGACATCCTCTTGTACTGTGTCTTCCCCTGCGATTACTACGACTCCCTCTGCCTCTTCTTCTTCCTCCTCTTCGTCCACCTCCTCCTCCACCTCTTTCTCCGACGCCCCTTCTTATACTATAGCGCCCTCTCTGAAGCCTTCTTCTTCGTACCCGACCTCGTCCTACGCTTCCCCCTCGACCCCATCCCCCACCCCATCCCCGGCCCTTGCAAGACCCCGACCGTCTTGCCTGAACCCCGCCGCTGGTACGTCACTTTGAATAGTTCGTCAGGGTGAAACGCCACTTGTTTTGCAATAATATGAAAATTGGCATATAATTCGATCTTATGAATGTAATGTATACATGCAGCAATGTAGGCATTAAGTGATATTGCTTTTTCATTTCATATTGACCTAATCCTGGCGTACATTAGTTCGGCGGTTTATACACCGACAGCCAAGGCATCCGCGTCTCAGATTCCCTCTTCCTCCAGGAACCGCTGAACCCTTCGCCCCCGCTGGCCCTCGCGCCCGAAGCCCGGAGGAACAGCTGGACCGTAGTGTCGCCGCACATCAAAGCTTCGAGGGTGATGGACGCACACCACCAGGGCCCCGTGGACACCAAATGTGTAGGGTCACCGGACGCGGCCGACTCGGTGCTCCTGGACACTAAGCCGCATGGCCTGGCGAATGCCACTCCCCCCGCCCTCCTGGAGGCAAAGACGGAGAGTCAGATGGACTTTCAGAGTCCAGGATTCATGGACGCAAAGCTCCCGAGCTCTCCTGGCGTTCTGGCGCCCTACGACCCTGCCTCCCTGAGATTAGACCTAGGGACCACCACGGCCTGGAGGAGCCTCAAGAGAGACAGGCACGAGGAGGACGCCCCGGGAGCCGTCTCCTTCCGAGAGAACAACGACCTCTTCAGGAATCTCGACTTCATGAGGAACAGCGACCCACACCCTCGGCTGGACGTCGGGCGGGGCGAAGTGGGCCCTCACGAAGCCATGCCCGGACTGGACTACGCGCCTTGCCACGGGTCGTCCTCCGCGTCGCCGGCCTTCAGGGTCCCCCACGTCACGCCTCCGGACTTCGGGATGCCGCTGGCGACGCCGCAGAAGAAGACCCGACTGGCCTTCGCGCACGACTGCTTTCCTCCTCGCTTCACCTCCAGGCTGTGGCCTCACGCGCCCTTCCAGGCGAGGGTCGGGGCCTCGCACGACCTCCACTGCTATCGGAGAATGGGCGTCGCCACGACTGACCTCCCGTTGGCAGCGCCGTCGCCGCTCATGCCCCTTCCGCACCAGCACCAGCTCCTCCGCCCACAGCCCCTCACGCCCCTGCCGCCCCCTGCCCTGCCCTCCGCATGGACTGGGATCCTGTCAACCTGCCCTACCTGGCTTACTCCCTCCTGCAGAGC